CAATGAATCCATACCAAATCCCATGCATAATCATTTTTTCTCTTATTTTATATCTGTACATTTTTTTTATTTCTTCTCTTTTCTTTTATTGAGGTGATATTTAATGAATTTTATTTAGTAGTTTTGGGAACACACCTGACTTGAGTATGGAATGGCTGGGAAATATCACATGATCAAACAATTTTTATTGCATTTTTTTATTTTTTCTCAAAATTGGCGATGATGTGACGCGAAAAGTTGTAGGACTAGGTGACTTGTATAGCACGAGTCATCTAAAACCGACCAATTTTATTCTGCATTTTGAAGCCTATCACATGGATACACAGAGTAATTTGGGTTCAAATTCTTCATAATTTTATATAGTCAATGACAAAGAATAATTCTATAAAAAGTTTGATGTAAAATATCTATTACTTAAAAAATATGTGATGGTTTGAATATTAGTAACTTTCTATATTTTAAATAATGTTTACCTAAATTTTGCTACCTCGTTAACTATTGATGATAGTTTAGGAGAAGATCATTATCTATTTAAGAAATTTTATTTTTCTGAATATTCTAGAATTTGAAATTTTGTGTTTAGATGACTCGGGGCTGTATAAATTTTGGCATGCGACCAATGGATTCTACAAATTTAGAAACTATCTGTGCGTAATGATCTACCATCTGAAGTTATTGATTACGAATCAATTGAATTAATTAAATACCTAATTTGTTTAATTCATTGTAGTTTATTTGTTTATAGCCAAAGCTTGTTAAATTCGTATTCGATAAATTCATTATTATTATGGAATTAATTTTAACAATGATTTTTAGTCATATTGTACGCAATCAATAAAAAAAAATATTCGCTTAGGAATTTTCTATTCCACGGATTAAACGTGCAATAAATATTTGCCCAACATATTTTACAAATCTAAATTTCTTTGTTTTACCAGTATTTGGTTAGTTGCAAGAGGCGCAAACCTTTTGAAAATGTTACGTAAAAGTATTTTTAACAATGAAATTTAAATAAAGCATTCAAAGATTATTTTGTTTGAATGAAAAAACTAATTCGAATAAAGTCCATCAGTTGATAATCTTTTTACTGTCACTGTTTTAAAAATAAAATTCACAAAAAATTTTTTTGTTCTCTATTGTTATCTTATTCATAATACATTAATGTCTTAATGAATTTATTAAAGTTTTGAAACAAATTTTAAGGTTTTAAATTGTATTGTTTAAAAATTATATAATTTTAATATTAATATTAAGGAAAAATAATTCTTGAAAAATTTTTAAAACTTCAAAACAAACTTTAAAGATAAACTGACACAGCAATAATGTACGAACCATTTTTGACGATAGCTTTTGCTGGATGGTTCAATGGTCTTTACACCATGGTAACGTGAATAAAAAAAAACTCACAAAAATTAAATTAATTAATTAATAATTTATTTTAATAATGATTTATTTGAATAGACGCACCTTCATAATTTGTTCGTTTCGATAACATTGTATAAGTCTCGAGCAAATTTGCTGAATATTTTTAAAATTTTATATAATTTCGGAGGATTAATTAAAGCTATATCTCAAGTTTGGCAATTAGTAGTACCAAATGATGTGACAAAAGGCCAATGTATTGCATTAACAAGTTTAGTTGTTACAGGAATTTTTATTTACAGAACTGCATTGCAAGGATTTTTA